CGCAGATGTTCACAAAACTGCTTTTCGTGTGCCAGGAACATTAGGCATTTTCCAATGGAAGGTAATGCCATTTAGGTTAAAGAATGCAGGAGCAACCTATCAACGGACAATGAACTATATTTTTCATGACCTTATTGGGAAGGTTTTAGAGGTTTACATAGATGATATGGTAATGAAGTTACATTCCTTTCTGGAGCATCTGCAACACCTACATCAATGCTTTGAGCGTATGGGGAAATATTAGTTAAAGTTAAACCCATTAAAATGCGCATTTGTCATGATGTCTGGTATATTTTTGGGTTTCTTAGTTCATTCCAGGGGCATTAAAGTGGATGCTGAAAAGGCCAAGGCGATTATAGAAACTAGACCTCCACGGACAAAGAAAGAATTACAAACTCTAATCGGCAAAGTCAATTTCCTTTGCCGATTCATTTCCAACTTATCCAAGAAGTTGAAGCCATTCTCTCCACTTTTGAACGTTCAAGCGAATGAAGATTTTGTGTGGAAAGAAGAGCAACAGCAAGCGTTCCAAGATATCAAGTTGGCTTTATCCACTCCTCCAGTTATGGTTGCACCTATCAAGAACAAACCATTGGCGCTCTACTTGTCGGCGACTGAAGAATCATTGGGTTGTTTATTAGCCCAGGATGACCAGGATGGATTAGAAAGAGCCGTTTACAATTCAAGCCGCATGCTTACCGACACAGAACGCAGATATCCTCCAATTGAAAAGCTGTGTTTGGCATTGTATATTGCTGCGACTAAGTTGCGCCACTACATGCATCCTGGTTTAGTCTGTGTAATCAGGAAAATCAACCTAGTACGGTACATGCTGCACCAACCAACGATGATTGGCCGAATAGGAAAATGGGTCCTGGCTTTAATGGAGTATCAATTTCAACATGTACCCCAATTAGCGGTAAAAGGGCAAGCACTAGCAGATTTCTTAGCTGCACATCCCCTTGGCGATGATTGGGGTGATGAAGTCCTTGAGTCGTTTCAGGTGCACCATGTGGAAGAACCTCTATGGACAGTACATTTTGACGGATGTAGAACGTTCACACATAGTGGCGCGGGAATAGTAGTTACTTCTCCACATGGACAAAAGTTGCGTTGTCAGATTTGTCTCAGTTTTCGGGCAACCCATAATCAGGCAGAATATGAAGGTTCAATCCACGCCCTGCAAACGTTACTACACAACGGCGCGACTCATGCAAAGGTAATTGGAGATTCTGCTTTAGCCATTAGGCAGATGAAGAAGTTGATGGATCACAATGATGACATCATGTCCAATTACGCAGGTGCGGGTGATGTCCTTGCTTCTCAATTTCAACATATTGAATTTTACAATGTTAAGAGAGAATTCAATGCTGATGCCAATGACATGGCACAATTAGTTTCCGGATATCTTAAAATGCCACTTGATCCAGATATTGCTTATGACACCGTGAATTTTGACGCTCCAGCATATGTTCGATACCAGCCAGTGGAGGTCCTTTCTGTTGCAACCGATAATACAATAGGAGATTGGCGTACACCGATAATAAAGTTCCTGTAGGACCCAACTCATCATACTCCATTATCTATACAGCGGCAAGCACCTAACTATGTTCTGTTGCAAGGGATGTTATATCGGAAAACAGCAGATGAAGGTTTGCTTCGATGCTTAGGTAAGTCATAATACACGATGTTGATGCTGGAAACACATGAAGGGTTCTGTGGAGCGCATCAAGGAGGACCCAAAATGGCTTGGTTGCTACATCGCCACGGTTATTTTTGGCCGACTATGACCCAAGATTGCATCAATGTCACAAGAGGGTGCGTTGATTACCAAACCATACAGATATTCCACATACACATCCGGAGCCAATGCAATTCATAGTCAAACCATGGCCATTCCGTTGTTGGGCTTTAGATGTTATTGGCATGATACATCCACCATCATCTTCTGGGCACCGTTATGTTTTGGTTGCAATAGATTATTTCACCAAGTGGGTAGAAGCAGTGTCTCTGAAAGATATTGATCAAAAGGCGGTTATATTTTTCCTCCAAGAGCATATCACCTATAGATTTGGATTACCTGAAACAATAATCACGAATCAAGCGCAATACTTTGTTGGCCAAGACATGGTGCAGTTCATCAAAGACATGGATTTTACCTTAACACATTCTTCGCCATATTTCGCGTAAGGCAACGGTCAGGCTGAGTCAACAAATAAGATATTGAAAGGCATCATCTAGAAAACAATTTTTGATAATCCAAGACAATGGCATGATATCCTGAGACAAGCATTATGGGCATACCGAGTGACGCAGCGGGGAAGTACTAAGGCGACTCCGTATGAATCGGTTTACGGTCACGATGCTGTTTTACCCATTGAACATCTTTTGCCCTCTCTCAGAGTTACTCAACAATTTCTCTTAGACTCAACCGACTACGCCACAACAATGCAGATTGATCAAGATAGATTATCCCATAGCCGAAACTCAGCAACATCAAATATCATTACCCAAAAGGCTGGAATCATCCGTGCTTACAACAAATTTGTTCGACAAAAGTAATTTAATGTTAAAGATCGAGCTCATGGTAAATGGAGCCCTACCTGGGAAGGTCCTTACATCATACACCGTCATTTAGGACGTGGGGTGTACATTTTAAAAGACATGGATGGAACAGTTGCAGATAGATCTATCAATGCTATATTCTTGCGAAAATACTTTGCTACTGCATGGGATCAACTTAACAATAAATATACTTAAGCAGCAAAGATGTTTATTACTAACAAAAGAACCAAAAGTTTGTTTTTGTACAGGAACATAGTCACTGCAAAGTTCATCAGCACTACCAAGCAGAATAACAAAATAGAAAGGTATACAACCCAATGGGTATTGCAACAAGCGCTATCTAAGTAGAAGGAGATGGTGGTAGTACACCTTCATAAGGTGCACTCTGCAAAGGCGTAACCTCCAATGGCTCTTCATATTTGTGGTAAGCATCATCTGGGCTTAGCAGCGGAATGTACTCTTTGAGATTCTTCGGCGCTGACGGAAAATCGGGACCCCAAGTGACGTGCGGCAAGGACTGATTGTACGGTAGCATCACATACTCTTCATACGGTTGCAAGAAATCGATATCTTCTGGCTTCACTCCTTGTGCGGCAGCTTTAGATTTGTCATAAGCCATGGGATTTGTGTCACTGGTGTCAGCCATTCTTTTGAATCAATTGCAGCAACACCAGAAAAGGAAAAAGGGTTTTGTTTGGATTGGACAAATTTCGGTAACTGAAACAACTTAGTTGGATGACCGATGTGACTAATTCGATAGTAACAGTTGTTGTTTTAATAAGGATTTTTGTGTGGCCGCTCCAGATTCAAATTGGAATCGGAAAAATTTTTTCCGTTAACAAGATGGTGAAGCTGTTGAGATTTCTTCTTTCTCTCTCCGTCATCCATTAAGAGTCTTAATGTCGTTCCGCCGGTCAACCCTCAAGATCCGCGGAGTCAATGAGCCATTAGCAAAACCGCGATTCTGGTACACGCGCCCTTGCCAAGGGGGCACCGGGCCGATCAAAAATTTTTCCTTAGGTAGATTTTTGCTGGATCATCCCATTATATTGGGACTTGCATGAATGGGCAATAAGACAAGCAATTTTCGGCCAAATTTGCTCCCCTCGGAGGGCTTTATGTTGGACCGATTTTAGCAAATCCGGTCCATATGAGTTGGGTCAATCGCAGCAAAGTGATATTGTTCAGCCTGCAAGGAATCGCGAGTTCGGAGCTAAGGAACCAGTCGGCAAATTGAATTGGAAAAGGATTTATGGACACAGAAGTCCTTGTCGGAGAAGGATTCTCATCGCAACAGCAGTTCTTATCACATTCAACTTCAATTACATTCCAACTAGGGTTGGCGGATGGTCAATAAAAGCTATGAAGAAGAGACGACAAAGACACGCAATTCATCATACAAAATCAAATATCTAGTTTTCTTTATAGCTTTTTCTCCATGTATTTTCTGCTTTCTTTTACTTCTTTCGCTTCAGATTAATCATTGTAAGCTTTTCGACGTTTCTGACTATTCAGAGCCGATTCGTTTTCATCAAATTAATAAAACTGGTCTTATTTGGCCGTTTTATCCATCTTTTCAGAGTTCTTCGTTGTTTCATTAGTAAACACTTAGACATTCAAGCTCGTTTTGCATCGAAGGTATTGACATCTGTTGATAAATTTAAAGATTGGACTCGGATTTCGAGAATATCATGCAATCGTTTGAAATTAGTTTGAGTCGAGTCGGTCTTCACTTTCAAATACAATTTTGACTTAAACACGGATAAAATAATGACTTTATACCCTCAAATTATTTAAAGCATTTTTGAGTAGTGTTGAAGTTCTAACTGATTTCCCGTCAGATTAATTTCATTACACGGTGAGGATGGAAAACTCAACTAGAAAACATGAATTATTAGCAACAGTTGTTCAATTTTCTCCTCGTCTTCTAGTTTACTTTTTGTCTGGTTGTACTTGAATTTTCTGCATAGAGTTCTTTGTATTACTTAAAATCGATGGAAAACACCAATACATTTTCCACAAAAAAAAAAAAAGGGATTAGAAGAGAAATAACTTTTTAGTAGCGAGGACAAGAGCCCCATACCATCCCCAATTTGTCAATGGATCCAAATGTGGTGGATGATGAGCAATATAATCTTTGATTTGGTTGTGATTTGGTATTTTTCAATAATTTTATTTATCTTGAAATTCTAATTTGTCAATGGATCCAAATGTGGTGGATGATGAGCAATATAATCTTGTGATTTGGTATTTTTCAATAATTTCATTTATCTTGAAATTCTAATGTGTGGCGCCAGCCTATTACACTCACCCTAAAGCATTTCTACCACGTACTTCTGAATTTTAGTATTCCTTCCGTCTCAAAATTATTATCCAGTTTGTATTTTTAATTTGGAATATAGAAATAATAAAAAAGCACAAATACAAACTAGCAAGCTCCCTCTCTTTCTCTCCGATCTCATAATTTCTGATTTCCTCATCTTTGCTGAGGAGGCCGACATTTAAAGATATACATGGTTTCTGGATGGAGGTGTTAAGGGATCCTTGGAGGTTCTCGCCATTCTTTGACTGAGGAAGATTATCTTGGCCCAGTCCACTAAAAAAGGCAATCAGAAATTCTTCCTAAATACAGAGCATTGAGAAGGTGATTGCAAGTATATTCGGATTTCTGACTGGTCCCTAATACTTAAGATCAGAAAATGGAAGTTGAATTCTGAAGGCACCTACTGAAAATGTCCCAAATTCATTTTCAACAAAACCACCTGTCAAATTTGCCATTCCAGGTCAGTTTGAGCAGTCCACCTATCTTTCCCCCCAGTTTTCTTAGGGTCTTACTGAAAATGAAACGAAAGTTTACGAACAAAGAAGCAGGATGAACACCTACCTACCAATCCCGCCCTGCATTTATAATTATTATATAATAAAAACATGCTGATAGTTCAGTATGACATATCCATCTTCACTAGACAAGAAAACAGATTTATCAGACTTAAATCGCTATAAATAACAATGTACTACTACTTCAAAAAGAGTTAAATCAAACAGCAAAAACCCCAACCAATTCACCTTCCTGTACTCTGTTAAATACTCTAATAGATAACCAGCTCCCAGCAGATATTGGGCCGACGACACTGCGGGTCATGTGCTACATGGTTGCAGATTAAATCAGATTATCAGTGTTTTTCGCTTCCGTCCTGCAACCTTTTTGCTGCTCCCCGATGCATCATACGCACTACTACAAGCCCCCGTTCCTCGCCCTCCTGCAACATCAGAAAGACCATTTTCTAATGCTCTAACCAGGTTATCAAAGTAACTCTTGGTCACAGCAGTTAGACCCGTTAACTTTGTCCTGAAATTAAGGAACTCGGGGTGAGGCTTATCTTCTTTGAGGTAAGTCTCCAATTCTTTCTCTGCACAAAGATGCAGCCTTTCAAGGCCAGACTCCGCCTGACCTTGATTGAACTCAAAAAACTGTCTTTTGGCAATCTCTTTCTCAGGCAAATAGTAACCATAGGCATAAGTCCACTTTAACACCCTCCTGCACTCGATGATCTGATGCCACGCATCCACAATGAACTTCAAATGTGTCTCTGGTGTACGCTGGGTGTCACTCAGCCTCTGAATATGGACCTTTTGCATCTGGCACAAATCCGACATCGCCTTCTTCCTTGAGGCCTCGTTTGCGGCCCATCTCTCGTAATAATGTGTGTACCTGTGTGCAAGCAAATTTTTTACCATAGTTAAAAGATGCAAGTGATAGGTGTCGTCCCATTAACAAACGACACTTTCAGATGACTGTGAATTAGTGGAGGTATGGCACAAAAGATCAATAAAAATGTGAACTCTTAGGGCTAAAAACACCATAACTAGATAACGCCCATTAACTACCAAAATCAGCACCATAAAAAGATATTCTCAATAATGCACAAATGATTCAATAGCAGGGCAGATCATAGCTAAGGACACAACATCAATGGAAATAACAACCTAAACTAAGGATGTTGAACCAAAATGTAAATGCAAGACACAGGAAATAACTCAGGAATTAAACAGATTACCTCTCCAGAGACTTCCTAGCCATCTGCCTCTTCATCTCAGTCTCATCCACTGCACTTTTCTCGCCCGATTCGTTCACCAGGTAACCATTACAAGTGTAAGCGCCCCCGGCGACGAGCCTCTTATTATGATCAGCCCACGAACCTAAGCACAACCAACAAAACTCAAACCTGCAAGGCACACGGCAAGTCATGTGCATACAACCATTGTTCTTCTCGATTGGCCGCTTGCATTTGGGGCAAGGCTTGGTATAAGCAAGTATCCAAGTCGTGTTCTCGGACTCGGCATTATTCTTGGTGATCCATTTGGCCACCGTGTCGCAATCCACCGGGCGGTGAGCGTCCTCTGTACACTTCCAACAGAATGCCTGATCGCACTTGCAATTAACATCGAATCCGACTGCACCCACAGTGTCAAATTCGACGGCCAACTCGCATTCCGGGCCAGGGCACCATTTCGTCTTCCTATTATTTAACTCAACATAGGACCTAATTAAATATTTATCATACTTCTCTTTGCTCTTCTCCGACACCAGATCATTAATCATCCCTTCTGTCACGGCTCCGTTGCAAGACGGTTCGGGGCAATTAAGGGCCAGACAACCCGGCCCGTCATTGATAGCCGAGGTAATGTACCCGGCCCAACACTCTTTACAAAAGGGATGCTCGCCGCAAGCCGCCGCCATGACTGAATTCCGATCAGCAAAGCTGTCAAAACATATCCCACAACAACAAGGAATGGCAAAGGTGGAAGCTTTGTCCCCGCCGTTGAACAATCCAACGGCTTTACGGACTCTGTCCTCGTCGGAGAACCACTCCTCGTGGACTGTGGTGACACTCCAGCTATACCGGCGGAGAAGAAGGCTGGCGGCGTCCCTGGAAACGGAGAGAACAGAGGAGACTTTATTGATGTCATCCTCCTGACGAATTCGGATATCGTTTTCGGTCAACAAAGAGTAGGACTTGCTGACCCGATTCGGCTGAATTGTTTCCTCCTCCGGCAATTTCATATCAACATCATCATCATCATCATCGTCGTCGTCGTCATAACCATAGCCAGATGAAACATACGGGGAGGAAGCGCCGTCGTCATCGTCGAAGCAACAATCGTCGTCGGCGGCGGCGGCGGAAGAGGAATCGGAATCAATGATGATCGCGTCGTGGACACCCATAATCAAAGCGATCAACTTCAAACAAAGCGAAATCAGTTATGGGAATCAAAAGATGAAATTATACAATTTGGGGGTTCCGGGAAAAGAGAGGGTGAGTATAAACCCTAGTAAGGAATTGGGATTTGTTAGGCAGAAAATTTTGGGGGAAGGACGATGATGTTGATGAGTGACATAGTGATACAATCATATCACAATATAAAGTCATTTTTTTTGGAAAAACAATAAAAAGAGAAATATTTGGGAATAAAATAATTCATTAGTAAATTACAGTAAATATAAATATATTGAAAAGGCGGAAAACGTAACGGAGATGCCTACTGGAAGTTTGGACTATGTTGTAGATTTAACTTCATAAATAAGGACACTACTCTCATTTGTTTACTTGTTACTTTCATCTCCTTTTGGACCTTTTATACTTTACTGTACATTTACTTTTTATTCATCAAGTTTTAAACAATTATTACTCCTTCTGATCCAACTCTCGGACGATAATTTTGGGACGAAGAGGGATACTTTTCTTTTTGTTCTTAAAGAAAAGAGGGCGCTATTTGCAGGATTCTTTCGAATTAAGTTTGGTTTACTTCTTGGTTATGTCCTTAAAAAGTCTGTCAACTGAAACTGTCAGTCTCTCCGATGTAATGTTAAAAAACTAAGACTGCAGAAGTGGCACAATCTTACAACATTCGACCACTAATAATCAGCTGCAGAAAACAAAGAGACATCATTCGGACATCAACCCAAATTCCTTGCATAATCACTGAATGTTGAGGATATTTGCAATTGCTTACAAGATGTCTCGATGCACAGTACCAAAATCTAATACTAACAACCACTATAGAAAGAATGAGTCTACAGGTAGGTTGTTTGACTTAAAAGGTCTGCAAAAAAGATGCAACTTTTAGGAGCAATTGAAATCTTCATTTTGGCCCAAAACATTTATCTGAAGCAAATCTGCCAACACTGACGAGGGGACCCGAGCATTCCAGCCAGGAAATCATCTCAAAGACCTTCAGGTGATCTGCCAACACGGAGGAGGCTTCGCCGGTGATTGAATCAGGCAGGTGATGAAATCCTGAGCACCTCTGATAACTTTGTTGGCCAATCAAAAGTCACGATCAGTAGTTTCTGGACCTCAGTCTCCTCTCAGACAGCAAACAAGCACTCCATTGCAATTAGACAAAGCTCCGTAAACAATCCATTAATGCATCTGTCTGCTCTGGCTTGCCCACAGACACACGAACATAACCTGACAATTCCTTGTTATTGTAATGACGAATCATCACCCCCATTTTGGCCAGGTCCTCCTTCAATTTCTTGGCATCCATTCCCGATGTAACCTCGCAAAGAATGAAATTAGAATAACTTGGATATGGATTAAGAAATGGTACTTCCTTCAAAAGTTTAAACAGCCTTTCCCGTTCTTGCACAAGGGCCACTTTGACATTTTCAAGATAGACAGAGTTTTGCAATGCTGCACATGCAGACACTTCAGCTGCAACAGACACGTTATATGGCTGCTTTGCTCTCCACAGATACTCAATGATACTCAAAGGAAAGGCTCCATAACCCACTCGGAGACCAGCTAAACCAGCTCTCTTACTAAAGGTCCGGAGAACAATCAAATTTTCATGCTTCTTCACCCACTGCATTCTAGACTTCAACCCAGAAAACTCAATGTAGGCCTCATCCAGAACCACCAATAGCGGCAGCTTGAGTATCTGCAAAAGAGTGTCATCTCCTATTATGCTCCCATCTGGATTATTTGGTGAAGTTAAAAATATGCATTTTGGTTTCTCCTGCTCAACAGCCTCAGCAATTCGTCCAACATCCAAGCTGAAATCTGACTTGCGGGGTACCTTGATTACACTGGCACCATTAACAGCTGCATCAAACTCGTACATGGTAAATGTAGGAGGGCAGTCAACTATTTTATCACGTGGCTCTAGCACACATCGCATGATTAAATCAATTAGCTCATCTGCCCCACAGCCCACAAGAATGTATTCAGATTCAAGACCTGAATCTTCAGCAAGTGCTGCACGCAATCGGCGACTTTCGGGGTCAGGGTAAATATAAGGAAATTTCATCGCTCCCAAAGCCTCAAAAACCTCCGGAGGCGGCCCATATGGATTTTCATTTGCATCCAATTTTACGATATCCTCTGGTTTCCGACCAAGCCGAGCAGATAACACCTCAAAAGGTAAAATGGGCTGATAAGGTTTCAATTTGAGAAGATGAGGTCGGATAAAGGAGGCACCAGTAACATTAGGCGATAACTGCTCTTGTTGACTATCCTCTTTGTCATTGACAGCAGCTGCAGGAATAGTTGAGGCCATGACACTAAATGAAGGCACTTTTCTTCTGCTTCTGCTACTGCAATTACCCTGATATTCAAATACCCTATTCAATTTCAGTCTGTCAATGCAAAGTGACGATGATGGTGCATTGCACAAAAGCTCAATTACACCCATGATTCACAGACAATACAGTTAGAAATCCTTTGTTGGACGAACTGTGAAATGGCAACTGAGCTTTTGACTAGGAATCTACCAGCACCAGCAGACGCCAAAAGCTTGGACCTTTGCAGCTTCTTTGGTGCCCTTCTTGTTATTCTTCGTCGCACCTTTTTCAGCAAAACCATAAGTAAAAATCGTAAAAAAAAGCTTGTGTATACGAAACAACTAAGAGAGTAAAACATACATTGCCTAGCCTGTGAACCAAAGTGAAACAACAGCTGCATCACCATTTCAGCTGTAGTTAACACTGATATTGTTGCACAAAATAACTAGAATGATACAATGGCACAGCTTAAAATGACAAAGATTTGGCTCTGGGTCGAAATTACCAAGTTGAGAAAGAAGTGAGAAAGAAGCGTGCAAAAATTGTTGAAATAGCAAGCAATGAAGGGTAGAGCACATAAATCAGAATGTTGTACTCCGTTTACAAAATGATGGAGATCTCCAACATCATTAAAACATCATAACCATTGAGGGAGGGAGCACCCAATTTCTGAGTGAGAGAAGCAAAGAGCACATAACAGACCTTTTAAAAAAAAAAAAATTAGAGCCTTTATTAGTCAAGATACAAACTTTCCTTAACTTTGACAGCAAAAGAGCAGGGTTGCAGTGTGTATGCTTTCAAATATAAGAACTTATGTATAGTGTAACTGGCAACTACAATGGTCCTGTTCTCTTCTTCGAGTTAAATGTAAGTGCAAAAAAACAAAAGAAAACGCACAATCCAACAGAGTAAACCAATAGAAGTCCAATATTGAATTGATTGCCAGGGAACAATATGCATAGAACCAAATACCAAAAAGAGAGAATTACTGAGAAGCAGGAAAAAAAAAAAAAAAAAGTCATAAACGTGAACAAACAAGAAAGGGGAAGCAATTGGTAATACTGAGACTGGGAAAGTGATGCATTTAGAAACCTTAAATCCCAAAAACAAAATGAAGAACTAAAAATCCCACTTGAAATGAATACATAAATTTGCATAAAATCTAATATAACCCAACAGAACATAAAAGGAAAAAAAAAAAGAAGAATAAAAAATCAAAGACAAAGTAAAGAAGAAGAAAAGAGTAAAGGGCAAAGGAGAAATTCACACCTGAGTGTTCAGACTTCAGAGTTGAGAGAGATACCAATCCATTCTCATCAATGTTTAGTCAACGCAGGAATTTTCAATCCTCTCCAGGAATTTTCTATATATATAGGGGAAGCTATGAGCTTGGTTTACAAAAGCGACTCAACGAGAATGAGTCGAACTATCAACACTGGGGATTAGATTCGGAGGAGTAGACAAAATATGCATTCCGGGAGGGGCTGGAAGCCACGCAGGAATTTTCAGTTTACAAAAAAGTTGAGGAAAGATGGAGGACAGGAGGAGTTTGAGGGAGCTGTATTGAATTGGGCCCTTCTGAAACAGAAAAGGGGAAAATTGGGCTAGACTCCCAAAAAAACCACACATCTAGTGGGCTTCCTCCCTGATTTTCCATGGGATTGAAGAATATCACCTGTCTATTTTGTGTTTTGGATGATGTACTACAAATACAATATATGTTCCGATGGTAATTTATCTCGTATACCCGAAGCACCATACTCTTCCTACTACTTTTTACATTTATAGTCCTTATTATATTTTTTCTCAATATTTTTATATTTTATAAATTTAGTCCATGTTTTTTTTCCTCTCTCCTCTAAAAAAACTTCTCTAATCTTTAAACGAGCATAACTCGCAAATCGTGAAGAATTAGAAAATGTTTTACATACGAAATTTATTGTTCTCATCGAGATCTATACAATAAGATCCATATCGAATATTTTTTTCGAACTTAAAAATGACTAAATTTCGATGAGCAGAAATAATGTGGATATCCAGTTTAAGAAGATGGATAACCAAATTATTTTAAATTGGTTATCCATTGTGTTCATACTAATTATCCAACCAGTTTGAACTGGTTATCCATTTGGTTTGTATGCCTATCCAACTTGTTTTGTAGTTGTAATCCAACGGGGTTGTATACATATCCAACTTGTTTGTACTGGATATTCAACTTGTTTGAACTGGTTATCCATTTGGTTTGTATGCATATCCAACTTGTTTTGTAGTTGTAATCCAACAGGTTTGTATGGATATCCAACTTATTTGTATTGATTATCCATTTGGTTTGTATGCATATCCAACTTGTTTTATAATACAACGGATTTGTATGCATATCTAACTTGTTTATACTGGATATCCATCTATTGGATTTGTATGCCTATCCAACTTATGTGTACTGGTTATCCAACGGATTTATATGCTTATCCAAATTAATTGTACTGGTTATCCAATCATTTTTTTTTTGTTTGAAAAAAAATCATTGTCCAATACGCTAATACTGATTATCCATTTTGTTTATTCCGCTTATCCAATCATTTTTTCCTTTGAAACACGTACGGTTATCCAATGTGTACATAGTGATTATCCAATCGCTTTGTATTGGTTATCCAATTATTTTTACTGCTTGTCCAAATAAGTTTGTATTGCTTGTCAATTTTTTTTCTTTTGAGAAAATGCATGTTCAATTAATGTGTTCGTATTGATTATCCAATCATGTGCTATTGTTTCTCCAGCTATTTTTTTAATTATTATGAAACTATTTGTCCAATGTGTTTTTACTTGTTATCCAACTAATTGGTACTGCTTATCCAACCTAGTTTTTCTTTTTTAAAATGGTTGTCCGTTGTGTTCATACTGATTATCTGACCGTTTTGAACTGGTTATCCATTTCGTTTGTACTGGTTATCCAATTATTTTTTTTAAGAAAAACATCGCCCAAGGTGTTGATACTGATTATCCAATTAATTAATTAGTACTGCTTATCCAACCTAGTTTTCCTTTTTATTGTTTTTTCTTTGAAAAAATAGTTGTCCAACGCGTTCATATTGATTATCCAACTGCTTGGTATATACTATTAGACCATTTTTTTTCTCTACTCTTGCAAAAATCATTGTCCAATTTTTTGTACTAACTATCCAACTGTTTTGTATTGATTATCCAATCATTTTCCCTGATTATCTAAACATAATTTCTTTTTTTTTTCTTTTGATAAAATATGTGTCCAATGTGTTGATACTAATTATCTAACTTCTTGGTAATGGTTATCCGATTTTTTTTTTACCTTGCTATTTGATGAAAATGATTGTCCAATTTTTTTGTACTGATTATCCAACCAGTTTGTACTATTTATCCAATTATTTTTCACTGATTATCTAAAATTATTTCTAATGCTTATCCAAATATTTTATTCTTTTTTTCCTTTCTTTTTTTTTTTTTTGAAAAAGAGTGAATGTCAAAAATATGATTGGATAATCAATACAAACCAAATGGCTAATCAGTCTAAACTGGTTGGATAATCAGTATGAATACAACGGATAACCATTTTTCAGGCAAAAAAACATATTTTTTCATTTTTGCCTGTAAAATTTAAATGCACTTAAAGTTTAAAAAAATATTCAACATTGATCTTATCGGATAGATCTCGTCGATTACTATAAATTTCATATGTAATTTGTTTTTTTAATTATTTACGGATCGAGAGAAATAAGTAAAACAACAACATCAATCTAAAATCAATTGGTTATCCATTTTTTTAAACTAGATATCCACTTTATTTCTGCCCATCGAAATTTAATAATTTTTAAGTTGGGAAAAAAAATATTCGATATGAATTTTGATGGATAGATCTTGTCGAGTACTATAAATTTCATACATAATTCGTTCACAAATTTTTCACGGATCATGAGATATACTCATTTAAAGATTCGAGATATTTTTTTAGGGAGAGAGAGAAAAAAGTAACAGGGACTAAATTTACAAAATATAGGAACAATTGATAAAAAAGTACAATAAGGACTAGTAGTGTAAAAAATAGGAGGGGTGTACATGCTCCTGAGTATACTGGATATGTAACATCCTGTCCCACATTTCTACCTGATAAAGTGAATGACCTGTATATATGTCTCAACCTCATAAACTACTAACAACTTGAGTTAATCATTTTGGGCTAGCGAGGACGAAAGCCTGAAAGTTGTTGGGCCAGTCTATGAGGTTGGGATATTACAAATGGTATCAGAGCGGACCCTAGTCTAGGAGCTACGTGTTACGTGCGGACACACCTCTGAGGCCACTGACGGGACAAGTGCAGAGACACCTCTGAGCCTGCAAACGGGACAAACGTAAAGTACGGGAGCCACCTCTAGAGTCCTATTCCGAGGGAAGACTGGGTCACATTCTTACTTGTTGGGCTTTGTGAGGACGAAACGATCCACGTTATTATCTGACAAAATGAATGACATGTATATAAGTCTCAACCTTATAAACTACTAACAACTTGGGTTAACCATTTTAGACTAGCGAGGACGAAAGCCTGAAAGTTGTTGGGCCAATCTATGAGGTTGGGATGTTACAGGATACAGACTCGTTCCCATCCAAGCTTCTCCAAGGTGATTATAACAACAATGATTACCATTTTTTTCACAAAAATATATATATCAGGAGGATTGTAACTCAGCCCCAATGATTGTAACAAAAAAACAAAAATAAGGGTTTGTTTGGATGGTCTCTTGTTTAATTTTTGTCTCATATTTTCTCTTAAATACAACTAAATGCAAAATAAACAATCTGTCCATACAACTGTTCAATTTACATTTTAAAATTTAACTTAAACATTATTTTAGCATATATTTTAGTGTATTGGCCATTTATGAAATTAAAATGATTCAGTGACCAAACTGAATACTTTGCAATAGTTCATTGACCATCGGCACGTCACCGACGGTGGTGGGCGGTGATGGGTGAGGCGCCGATGTCACTGAATTATTACCAAGTATTCAGAATGTTCACTGAATTATTTTAATTTCATAAATAGTCATTATACTAAAAAAACTTATTATTTTATTTAAAATAATATCCAAACAAATTTTTAAATTTTCAACTAAATTATATTTTAAATCTCCTCCCAAATTTAAATAAAAAACTAAAACAAAACGTTGTCCAAATAGTAAATATCGTCATCGATACGCACATATATACACGAGACACCTTAAATAACTCAAAACATTTCATTCATTATTTGGTTCAATTAATTGATACGAACTCCATCGATAGACACAAGTAACCAGTTAAAAAAAAAAAAAAAAACAAGTACTTGACACATATTACACATATTTATTATCATTACATGATCCATGTTCTTCTAATTGCATGCATTAAAAAACGATCATATAACATGATCAACCTTGATCTTTATAGAGAGTACATGTAGACCATAAGTAGCAGCTAAGACTTTTTACTGTAATTGCAAGCTGTAACACATATTTGGTAGAGTTTCTTTGAATGATCATCGCCCTCTCCAACAGGAGGAGCATTACAAAACCCCAAACATGCATTGTATTTTTCTTCACAGAAAGGGTTGCAACCATCTTGATCCTCAATATTCACCGTCGTCCCGCGGTTGCAATCTTTGTCGGAACAAGGAAGCTCCGTTCGATTACACCTCGATTTGCATTCATCAATAAACGGAATGTAATAATCATCGTGTACCTGTTTACAAATGGATGCACAATCGGTTTTGTTGACCGACCTGCATCCTAGTAGACAGGGTTCATTGTAGCTGGCACAATTCTGAATGCATAAGTCCGGAGCAAAAGTAAAAATTTCCGGACATGATTTCTGACACGGATCAACTACAGAAGAAGTACAATAAACTGAGCAATCATTAATTGATGATACAATATTAATAGTACTACCACCAAAAATGACTAGTATCAGTGCAAGTACGATACTTATCAATGACTTCATTTCAGCCATGGAACTAGAATTTGAAGGTGGAATGATCAAGATACAATCATTAATATTGTGGTGCTATATATATACAGTAATGATGAAGAAGTAGTTCAGTTACATTGTGGTCAGTATAAATTAATCATTTTTTTTCGTTGATTGTTTATTTCAAAAAAAAAAAAAGAAAAGAAAAAGTAATGCATAAGGTATTCCCATTTTTTTAATATATAGTTTAGTGGAATACCCCATCTAACTACAATATCAATAATTCATTATTCTTCGATTAATTCATTATCACAAGGTGATGTGACTTACTACTAGCTGGATAAAAAATTACTAGGCTTTGAATTTTGATATATGATGTGGTCGCAATGAAATTAATCAGCTAGCCAAAAATATTCTTCCATCATTTAATCATTCCATCGTATATTTTGTATCACTGAGATTGTGACAAAAGAACCAACATTTTGGTGCGACTTGGTCTATTACATTTTGATGAAAAGTACCTTAAAAAAAAACTGATATTTATAATCTATTACTTTAATTTATATATTAGGGTATAAATCATCCACGGTTCAATAAATAGTATGTTATATTTTTTTAGAAAAATTATAGATTAAATTAGTTTAGATTAACTCAGTTTATGGATGACATGATACTTTCCTAACAATATACTCCCTCAGTATCATAATT